CTATAGTGATTGCTTTGATTTCCAATAAACATAAAAGGTCCCCACATCAAACTTCCTCAAACTATCAGCACATTGTAGGTGAGGGGTGAAGGAACTCAGTGAATGTCGCCCTCCTATGCGATAGAGAACATGTCTTGCCAGAACTCCAGACATCCTTTTGTCAGGTATAAATGTATTCAAGGATAACAAGGGAACATCAAGAACATCATGAAGGAGTAAAAGAGTCATACACCCTGCAGGGACCCTTTATCAAAGTACAGTAACAAACGTGACCCACATGCAAAGAAACACATAGAACAGCTTCAAAATAACGATCAAGTATGATATATCTAAAGTGGATCTAACATCAGATATATGTTATATGTTAAGTGCGTGCATGCTAAGTAACACTTGCAGCTATGTATTACCTGTCACAGAGATTACACTACTCCTACTGATGATGCATTCATCTGCTTTTCTCTCCAGAAGGACAGTTTGTGTCCTCCCGTTAGGAGAACTATGGGGAAAAGCCCTAACCCCATAGTTCTCCATTAAAGTGTTGAAGTCTGATCATTGAGGGAGCTGAGACTGAGGCAATGCTTACTCTTACCTGCAGCAGACTAATAGCAACATCTCAGCCTAGGCAAAGTCAATGTGCCTCAAGGATGGCTTCTTAGTGATAAAAGGTGGTGCTTTTTGTATAATTATACCGTATATTATCACATGAAAGGAATTTAAGTTTCTGAAAGATCCACCTAAATGCTTCACTTAACTATTTTCTTTTTCCAAGACACAGGCTATGAATCTCTCATCTTATATATCTACAACCTTATGGACTGTAGTTGTGAACTGGTTAAAACTGATGCTGTTTCGTTAGATTCGAAGCACATTTCAGTTACATTAATTGTGTAGTGTGGGTGACTGATCTAAGGCTACCTTTTACCTGGTTGGTGTTTCCTTGTATGCAGGCCATCTATGGGAGCACTAGGCTGGGGGGCATCTGCCTTCCGGACCAGTACTAATAATAAAGGTTGGACGGGTGTCCCTGAGTGGAGACGCTTATATCAGTGATTGAACTTACGAGACATAGGAGGCCTCAACTGTGGCATCACCTCACCTGGCATCACCAAAAGGGCTGCACATAATGTTCAGTATGTGTAACGCTAGAGAAGACCATCAGAGACTGCAGGGTTTCTAAAGAATATAAAGGTCAAGGAATGTGAAAATGCTACAGGTTCGGTTGGTGACTGGAGACATGCTGTAGAAGACGACAAGAGACTGGAGACTTGTTATATGAGACTAGTAGAGACACTGCTATTACCCCTTTAGAAACCAATGATCCCACTACTAACAGCTGTGGTCCAAGGGCCACATAACATGTACCAGAGGCTTGCATGTGGCCCTTGTGCCGAAGGTTAGGTACCAAGGAAGATAGAATAGGAATAGGAATCTTTACTGATAAAAATCAACAATTTGCTGCTAGAGAATGTCAAAGCGTTGAGCATATCATTCACCATTTAATAAATACAACTACTGCCTAAGATTCTGCAGTCATTAAGGAAAAAGACACTAAATCTCTTTATTCTTGTTTCCAATAGATTACAGTCTGTAAGCAGTAAAAAATATCCATTTACATGGCAGGAAAAAAAAAAAAAAAAAGCCAAATACAAGTGCTGACAGTTTATTAATTTCAAAATGTCTCTTTTTTTCAACTCTTTTCCATTTTTTTGTTTTTAATATCAATGTCTGGGGAATAAAAAGATAACGACACGGCTCAGACACTATCAGTCCGGGCTGGAAATAATGCATTTGGAATTAAAGTCAGCAATTTAATTAGATGCTTGAAAGGCTGACTTTTGTGATCATATTTCAAATACCCCATTGTGTTTTCATCCATTCCGCGCTCGCGACTTTGCTTAATAATACATCAAGATTCAAGAAACGCGTTGGATTCGTATTACAGATTCAATTAGACCAATCAAAAGTGAAAAATAATTTATTTTTCATTAAAGAGGTTCGGCAAGCAAAGCCGGTAGGGAAGTTTTCAGACACAATAGGAAGTGGAGTTTGAGCTGCCGGATCGGCTGATTAAAATGGATGGAGTGTCAGAGTATGTATCACTTGTCATATCAACTTGTTTTCCGTGTGTACGGTTAATGGCATTCGAGGGCTGCTGCTCATTTATTGAAATTTAGGCTTTTCTTTTCAAAGACGCTTTCTTTTTTTTTTAAAACCAAACATGTCACGGCTCTGAAGCAGATTTTAATTCAGGAAAACTAGAAACTGATTGACTGTCCCTTTGAGCGTTCATAAAAATGGATGGGGGGGCGGCAATCGTGGTAAAGTTACTTAATAGGAAAATATGAATTCATATCTATTTATCATAGGCTGCCTGTTGACAGAGCAACTAAACAGACTCCACATTGTTTGGCAGCTGCTTTGTTCAGTTATTTGTACAATTCAGAAGAAAACCCCCACCCCAGTGATCCATCCATTCCATAAATGCATGTGCCAATTGTACCATATCAAAGAGGCTTTTCTGGATGACAGAAGCAATAGCATGGACCTTTTGCAAACTTTTACTCGTCTATTCACTAAAGGGGTGAAGAGTTTGGAGAAGGCAGGAGAAGTGAATAATCTAGGACAACATAACGGAACTGGAAAGTGAACTGAATTGGAGAATGTTTTCCAAATCAGTTATTTTGGCCAAGATTTTTCACTTCTCCTGTCTTCTCTAAACCCTTCACCCTTTTATGAAAAGACTTGTTAGTTTCAGATATTCAGAATGCATGACAGGTTCACTTTGTTTTATTTACCTTAAAGGCCAACTTATGGCAGAAACTATTTGGAAGAAATCCCCCTGAAAAAAAGTAGCACTGAGAACAATAATCACTACCTTTCTGATCTCTGACTCAGCAAATCTACAATCCAGTGATTACTAATGCTATATTTATTGGTGGCAGGGGGACGTCACTGTTGTTTACATGTAGACATTTCTCATCGTTTTATAGATCCTGAACGATCTTGTATAGATCGTTCAGGATCTATGCAAACAGCCCTGATGAAGGAGACAATGTAATTGCCCTGAAACACGTTGGATATATTCATATAATCTGTGGTCAACATTGATTTGTCTACTTTTTTTTCACATTGAAGGTTTGTTCCTCCTACATGGTATGTATTATGTATTTATGTCTACTTCAAGGATTTGTGAGGATGGCACAGTAAAAGAAAAAATGCTTAGAAAGCGTCGAAAATTATCAGAAAGCATCAATACAGCAGCTGTATTGTTACTCTGCACACATAACCTGGCACTTTACGCTGCACAAAATGTACAATCACAATGTACTTGGCAAACTGAGAGATTGCGTTCCTGTAATTAATGCGCGTCCATGTCTCTCCACCAGGCACTCCTCCAGCTACCGGCACGGGGACGTTACAAATTACATTAGAAGACGTTAATGACAATCCGCCATACGTTTCTCCGACCTCAGCCAAGATGTGCGAAGACTCGAAGGAATCTAACAATATTATTCTGGGAGCGTGGGACCGCGATCTTCATCCAAACGCTGGCCCCTTTAAATTCGAGCTGGTCAAACAAGCTTCCCTGGCGTGGAAACTCACCCAGCTAAACAGTAAGTTGGTACTGAAATTCCCCAGCATTGTCCTGGCGAATTCGTGGTGGGTATCAGAATCTGCATGGCTGGACCCGGTTGGGCAAATGTCATTAACAGTCCAGGATAGGCCCCTAAGTAGGTCAGGAGGAAAAGGTAATTAAATTTGCCGGTCATGCAGCGTGCAGCTCACAGGAATCTCAAGAGAGACATTTTTATTTATTTTTAGCAACAGCTAAATAACACTGAGAGGCTGATTTATAAAGCGTTCGTCCAGCGTATGGCAGAGTAAATGGCATCCACAGGGCATTACTGCCACTAGATGGAGCCTAGGAGAATAGGCATTTTCTATGCTTCTTGGCTTCATCTAGGCGAACAGTGAACCCAGTTGTACGCTGGGTGAACACTGTGCAAATCAGCCACTTAAAGTTGTCCTATACCGAAATGTCAAGATGCCCTATTTTGGATAAGGGGTGGAAGAGTTAAACCTCTGTCAGTTTTATTGCTGTCTGCACATGTCCCCTGTTTGGGAAATATCTTTCTATTTAGCAGGTGACAGACAGAACAGGAAGTGAGGGAAATCTCCTTATTGAAGACTTGGGGGGTTATTCACAAAGCTGCCGAAGGCTGCCGAGTGAATAACCCAGCCGAAGTGAAGTGAGCCGAACGCTGATCGGCTATTTACTTCAGTCTTGTACGGCTGATTTCAGCAGTACATCGGCTAAAATCAGCCGTACATGCAGAGCAGGTGCAGAATGAGTTCGACTCAGCCGATCCTACAACTGGATCAGCTGTCCAGCAGTTCACTCGCTGCCGTTCGCCCCTATTATCATTATTATCTGCATTCGGCTTGGCTATTCTGCTTGGTACCCCTGAGGTACGGAGCAGAATAGAAAAGAATGAAAAAAAGTTTTAAAAAATGATAAAAAATAGGAAATTAAAAATATATATATATTTTAAAGGAAAAAAAAACAATTGGGTGGAGCTAGCGGTGACAGCTAGCCCTGCCCAACTGTTTCCTATTGGCCGGCACCTGCCAGAGTCTTCTGGCAGGTCTCAGCCAAAGAATAACAACTGGGCAGAGCCGGACGTGATGTTGTTATTGTTTAATGACAGATCAGCGTCCCCAGGTCATTTGGGGACGCTGATCTGTCATTACAACTGGGCGGAGCGAGCCGTGAGATCATGGCTGGTTCCGTCCAGCTGTCACTTGCGTGGAGATCGTTGAGCCGATTGGCTGCCTTCGGCTGCTGTACATGTGAATAGCCCGTACAGCAGCTCTTTGGTTTGACTTAACCAAAGAGCAGAGGCAGCCGAAGAGATCCGAAGGAGGCTACGGCTGTATCCTTCAGCTCTTTAGTGAATAACCCCCATAGACAGCAGGGACGAAAAACATGGAAATCATGTACATGTTTTCATTGCTGTTAGTGTCCCACTGGAGGAGATTTCCTATTCATTTCCTGTGTAGCAGAGGGGGATCTATGACTTCTTCTATACTGGATTTTCCTAATCCGCCCCCCCCCTTATGGGGTCCCCTTCTACCCCAGGCTCCATAGCAGTCGCATGGACTGCTGTGGCTATTGTTATGCCATTGCCAGAGCTCCATTGGAGAAATTTTGACTCATTCCCTGTCCTCCTGACAATGGTTTCCCCAGACACGAAGTGAGATAAAATCAGGCACAGGGAGACGAGAGTTTTAACCCAACCCCACTCAAAAATGAAAAAGGCTTTGGCTGGACACTGTAACCAGTCCGGCTAGACGTGATCTTAACTTTACGTTAACATTTGAGTACAACTCAACTTTTTTCTGAATGTACATACATGATCATAGAAGGATTCAAATGATAAAATGCTGCAGTACTTTAAATAATAATGTGTGGCTAATTAAAATATATTAGCATTGGAGGCAGCTAGGATCTCTTTTCACCCTGGGGCTAATAGGTGGATTTTCATTTTAAGGAGCCTATGGCAAAGAAAGTATTTAACTCCCTAATAACTGATAAAGAAAAGCCAGGGGTGATGAATCTGATGGGGATGCATTTTAATGCAGTTTTAGCATATAGCAAAAAAAGAAACCAAGGAGCAAAGCTCCAGGCTGGCAACTAAGAGCCAGAGGCTCCACCCCCCACCCCTAACAACTTTCTTTTATATTATTATTATATATTATTTTTAACATGGTACAAGGCATTGAAATGTATTTCTTCGCAATTTACAATTTAAAATAGAACGCGTCTCATTTTAAACTACTGTCTCCAGCATATAATACAAATAAAAAAAATCCATCCTCGGGAACATTTAAGAAATCATTTTTGTATCGAGGGAATTGTTCCTCTTTGTTGAATAAAGTAGTCCACTTCCAACCTATTTTTGGATCGTATGTTTCTTTTTTTTCTCTCTCTTTTTTTTGTATGCCGTTCTGCTCCTTTCTAAGTTTAAAGATAAGTCACAGAAACTCTCGTCAATTAAAAATCCTCCCAAATGCACGGCGGACTGTTCTGCGCCTCGGTGTCATCGGCGGGAATAGGTGACGATATATTTCGGAGGATAGTGTTACGGGCCTCTAGACATTCTGCGCTCAGTCTCGGAGATTCATTGTGCGCTTTTGTCAGTCTAATATTTTCTATTGTATCTTTTAGAGATGACAGGGAACAGGATGGGAAAGTAATGCCTTCAGATAAGAGATACGTACAGTATGCAGTAATATAAAGTCTTGCAGCACAGACTATTCTAAAAATTAATTTTCACTATCTATGGAAGTCACGGCAACTACGCTGTCCAAGATACAGTCCTACCTCTGTAGGGTTTTATTATGTTCTGCGTAGAAAAAACAATGGGGGGGATATGAAATTTAAAGGTGTTGTCTATTATGGTCGGTGGGATGCCGGCTTTTGTGTTGACTCTATAAAACAGTCAACTGGAATCTGTTCCTTACAAACATTTTATTTGTTATAATACCCACAGCTGATCAAATACCATTTCAAGGCTGATATTTTACCACATTGTATACTTATCCTAATTTCATTTCATGGTTATTAAAGTGCATGTAAACCCAAAAATGTATTTTTCAATATGTTTGGTATCATCCCTCACTGGATATCATTTTTAAGCAAATTATTTTTTGTGACTCTGTTGTGAAGTTTCTTCCCTGGAGATCCTGCCAGTGACAATGCATTATGTTAAAGACCGAAAACCCTTTAGAAAGGCCTACCGGTGCTTGTTTACCCCCAGGACATATTGCACAATGCCCTATTTTCTGGCCAAGGGCAGAGCAAGAAACAAAGGGAGTATCTGTATCACTGAAGAAGGTACAGGTGTCTCCTCAGGATGGAGATGACTGGGTTTCTGAAGGTGGCAGTTCAAAGTGGAACAGAATACTGAGCCATTGGTAGAGACATAGCTCCTGAGGATAAACGGCAGCAGGGTGGCCTCCAAATGAGGCTAGAGCCATGCAGCTAGTATGGCATAATCGGTAAACACGTGCAGAAGTCAGTCCAGGTGGCAGGCAAAATGGGGTCAATAATGTAGCAAGAGATCAGTCCAGCGGCAGGCAAAGACATCATCAGGGTACATGCCAGGTCTCAGTCCAGGCTGCAGGCACAGATATGGTCAAGGTATAGGCAAGGGGTCAGTCCAGGCAGCAGGCAACAGATATTGTCAGTAAACAGTCTTAGAGTCAGATATCAGGCAGGTCAGAATTCAGTGTACATTAATAGAAGCTAGTGGGGAAGCTATCACAAGTGCCGGGTGCAGAGTTTGTGGCCTTTAAATCAGGAATCGCTTGACAGGAGACCAAGAGAAAGTACAGAAAGAGGCAAAGTAGGGCCACATTGCCTGGGAAACTAGACACCACAGCCAATGGGAGACAAGGAAGCTTCAGCGAAATGGTCACATTACCCAAGGGACAGAACACCAAGCAGCATGGGCACAGGCACCAGCAGAGGAGCATCAGGAAGAATGACAGACAGCAGCAAAGGAGAGCTGGGGAGCCAGCCAACCCAAATGATATGCACAGGAGACAGCGAAAGTTATTACCCCTCAACTGATGTGTGTCAGTCCTCTGTAGAGAGAGCGCTGCTTCTCCACAGAGAGCAAGGGTCCTTCTCTGCAACCTGCTGGCAGGGGACAGGTTTTTCTACTCAGGCTGTGGCTGCTTTCTAAAGAAAACAAACTATAAGCCTTTGCACACCTTTTTGTTTTGATGCACCTGGAATGTATTTAGCTGATTTAAAGGAGAACTATGAGGTGAGTGATTTCCACTATGATCCTCATATTTAGAGCCGACCTGTGACAAAGAAGCTGTCGCAGGTCGGCTCTATTGATCGGGAAGTGAGCAGAAACATGCACCGATCTGCTCACTTCCCAATCTAGATAGGCAGTACCCGCTGTCACTCAGCTGGGTGGATCTCAACAATATTGTCGGCATCCGTCCCGGCTGCAGCGCTCTCAATATATCGCAGGCAATAGCTCGCTATATACTGAGCTTAGCGTCATGGGAGGAGGTTAGTACATGTCCTCCCGTGACCCTAAAGAGAACAAAAACACTTACCCCATAGTTCTCTTTTAACCTCTAGCTTCAGTTGGGTTTTAAATGAAATGTAGCAAACATGGTCAAATGCAAACTCCTGTGTATGAGATTGCTGTGAGCTGAGCTGTGCATGACTTTCAGCATCCACTTGGTTAAAATGCTTTCCTTAGAGCCATTCCTGTGCACGCAGACCTCCTCTGTACACAGATCACAGCAACCAGTAATCTGTAAATGGGCAAAGCCAGTGTGAAGAATCTTGAAACGTTCGATAAAGGTCAAAAAGCATACCTGTGAAAAAGAAAAAAAAAGTTCCATGAGATAATCTAACTTTGCCAATTCCAATAATGAGCAGGGTGCAGATTCAGGCCCAGCATGGCACACAGGCAGGGCATAACGTCCAAGCTCGTGTTCTTGTTCCATTTTTTAATTAACGGAGAGCCTGTGGATTCTTCCAGGTACCCACACACAGCTCAGCCCGCTGCAAAATCTAAAGAAAAACAACTACAACGTGCCGGTGGTGGTGACGGACAACGGGACGCCACCCCTGTCATACAGCACGGACGTGACGATCCAAGTGTGCGTGTGCAAAAAAGGCAAACAAGACTGCAGTTCAGCTGAGGCCCCCCACGCCAGCCTGGTCCTCGTCCTCCTGTTTACACTCTACGGTCTCTTCTGTAAGTAGCACAATTCATGTTGTGTAGTATGGATTTTATTGTTGACTTATGCTGCAAACATTCCTCTATTAAAACAAGGGACAGAGAGGATAAAGTGTATGTAAACCCTAACAATGAACTTCTCTTATTTGCTCCCTTTCTGGTCTGTAAATATACAGTTAGAAGTCTTTTGTTTTACCTGTGGAACAAAATACTCGATGATCCTGTCAGCAGGGCTGACACCACTCAGTCCACAAAATGCTTTGTGTCAGCCCACAACAGGACCAAGGGTCTGAGTGCATTCCTGGCACCATTTACACTTATGCCGTCTTATGTGATGCGCGCCTTACTGTATGTTATGTTGCATGTTAACATGTATTGAACCTGTCCCTATTAAAACAAGGATCTGAGAGGTTAAAGTGTATGTAAACCCTAACAATGATTTTCTCTTATTTGCTCACTTTCTGGTCTGTAAATATGCAGTTAGAAGCCTTTTCTTATATCTGTTCGCTGATTGTACAAGAATTGCTAAAAACGCTTTCAATTGTAAATTTAACATATCAAAAGGACCAAATAAGAGACCTTCATTTTATGGGTTTATATGCACTTTACATGTACCGTATTTTGCGCTCCATAAGGCGCATCGGACCATAGGACGCAGGGAGGGTAGGGTTCTGACAGCTGTAGTTAGTGACAGCTGAGACAGGTGGCGCTGTGTTTACAGCGCCACTGTCTCAGTGATCACACAGAGCAGACAAAGAAAGGACGTTCTTCGTCTGCTCTAGGGGCTCTATGGTGAGCTCCTATGCCGTGGTCACGGGTCCCCCAGAGAAGCGGGTGACCCCGAAAAGTGTGGCGGGGGGGCGGACAAGATCGCCGCTACTCCTTTCCTACAAGTGATCTAATCAGATCACTTGTATGAAATGAGCGGTGGCTCCACACTATACATTTAGCTCTGCTTGTCAGGAGCAGGGCTAAATGTACAAAAAAACTACTCGCGCGGTGCCCGAAACTGCAGGGATGAGGGAGCTCTCACACATCCGCTCCATAAGACGCACTGACATTTTTGCCCCGCCTTTTGGGGGGGGGGAGTGTGTCTTATGGAGCGAAAAATTCAGTAAATAACTATTTTTTGGTTTGCTATAAATTTTTAAAGGGCTCATCCTGCATGTTTGAATATTGTCAAAATCTATTAATTAGTAGTTTGAATAAGGCAAAAAAAGATCCACGTTATCTGCAGGTGGAACGTCCAACCAGAATCTCCCAAAGCACGTTGAACTTTCTTTTTAAGAAATAAGTAAAGCTGTGAAGTCCTAGGTCACAGAGCATCGACAATAACGGAACAGACCTCATTTCATTTATCTGCACCAACCAGATTTCAATTCAAAAAAGGAAAAAAGAAAAAGATTAAAAATAATATTCCTCTGGGGTCTCGATGCTGAGCGCCGTTAGATGAAGCAGCGACTGCTTATAGATAGAGGACACGGGTGAGCGGAGCTCAAGAACATTGTTCACAAATGGGAATCTGAAATAATGGATTGTGTAGGATTAGGAAGGGGCGAGAACTGCTGGAATGTGGACATCGCTGCATTTGATAGCCGAAGGCCGTAGATTTGTAGAATTCTTTGCACACGGGACACATGAGAGCAACATGCACTGTTCTTTTAGTATTTTTGCTGCTGTCTCTGTCTTCATGGGAGAAATTTTCCATCACTTCCTGTCCAACACCTTGTCTTGGGCACAGGAAGTGAGAGGAAATTAACCAAAGACCTAAACCAACCGGAGGTTGTAACCCTTTGTAATGTGACTCAAAACTCAAAGTGGGACGTTAGGCAAAATAAAAAAATGACATATGCTACAGTCTTTTGCTAGCATTATCAGGTACATACAGTCTAATGAGTGCACCAAACAAACATTCAAAGATTTCATGATAAAATTGTTTCACAGCAGAAAAGCAGCCGATGCGTTTTAGGGGACGCACAAGTCCTTCATCAGGGTGCTTACATTTTGACCGTGCTGAAATAGACTCCTATAAGAAGATACCAGATACCCTGTTTCCCCGAAAATAGGACCTACCCCGAAAATAAGACCTAGTACTATTTTGGAGAATTGCTAAAATATAAGACCTACCCCGAAAATAAGACCTAGTTGTGACCATTTTCAGGGCCGGTGGTGGCATAAGGGGGAACTTGACGAGCCGCAGTAGAGGCGGGAGAGAATCAGCAGTGCCAATGAAGCCAGCGCTAGAGGAAGCAGAGCCGCATAAGCCAATGCTTCCTCTATAGTGTCGGCTCCTGTCACAGGCAGAGTGATACCAAATGCACTCCGCCTGTGAGGAATCGATAGTGAAAGTGCACTTCACTCATTCTGGCCAGAGATTGGTTACCAAATTGCTCTTGGAAAGGTAAGGCACCCCTGATTGCCCTGATCACCCTATTCTTAATTTTGCCATTTTGGATTATTTGATTTGGATATGGATTTGCATTAACTTTGGATTGTTGTACATTAAAAAAAAAATAAGGCCTACCCAGAAAATAAGACCTAGTGTGTTTTTTTGAGCCCAAAAAAAATATAAAACAGTGTCTTATTTTCGGGGAAACACGGTAGCTCAGTGGTTTCCTACTTGGAACAGTAAAAAGGGGCAGGTTATGCCAGGGTTCCAAGTGCAGTTCCCGAAATGGGCTAGCTGCTTAGTGCAGTGTTTCTAAACTGTTTAAAACCCTTTAAAAGTATGCAAAACCTCGAGGTACTCCAGTCTAAAATGTAAAAAACATATATGTAAAAAAGTTCACTATGTATGGTCCCTACAAAATCCACACCGGACCTTTATCCCAGATAGGGAATTCCGCCTTTCACATCAGAGTCCCCCTTAACATCAGGATCCCTCTGGTTATCAGAGTTCCCCCTTTGCCATCAGAGTTCCCCCTTTGCCATCAGAGTTCCCCCTTCACATTCATACCATGAGTCTGCCTGCACTGTAAAAAGACATGATGCTGTGCAAAAAATTCTAGGCATCCCTGGTGAAGGCAGAATACACCCCGGGGTGCCATGGCACCCTGGTTAAGAAAGACTGGTTTAATATTGCAGATGGGATCCCCCAGCCCTGCTGTCAGCTTAGTAGAGAAAGGACACATGATGTCACCAAACCGGCCAAAAGACAGCTGGAAAAGGGAAAGAAATGGGATTTATAATAGCCAACTACAAAAGACTTTTGCATGTCTGCGCTCTTTCCTTTTAAAATAAAAAAAATATTTACAGAATGTTGGGCCCCTAAATGAGGCCCGTTACACACACAATCCTGATTTGCAGTTCTTCAGAGAACTTTACACACATAAGTCATCCCACCTAGCAATATCCTCACCCCCGTCTTCAGCACCGAAAGCTTGCACTACAGCATTGACTCCAATCTGCAACCAGCAGGGCACAAGCAGACAAGTAACCTTAGATAACTTTACTTTACTTGCAGTTTTTATCCTTTAATTAAACAGGTTCCACCGCTAATTTCCCTCGAACAGACTCCCGGCACATTAGGGGCTGTTCCGCGATAACAAATACCCGGTATTATTATAGATCAGCAGATGAATTCCTCCCCATCTGAACCGCTAAACACTGGCTGAAACCAAGCAACAGATAATGAGAGCGTGGGGAAAGGAGAGCGAGGAGCAATAACACATTGCATGTAAAGTAACCATAATTATATACTTGTTTAACCGGCATAAACTCACTGCTGTATTGATAAGAGGAACATTATTACAGATAGTTTTATATCTCAGCAAGAGGCTCAGGTACAAACACAGCGCAGTGCATGGAGAAATTTCAAATACTGTATCACAATACACCAGGATTTCCGCAGCGCCGTATAATTGGCGTACAATTGTCTCTTCCTGGCATAAAGAAAACTTGTGTTTTTACATTGATTTTAGACCTTGGGCATATTAGTTAAACGCTATATACAGTATATGGCGAAAAGTTTGTGAACCCCTGAGCATCACACTTACACAATATGGCCAAAAGAAAAGAAGTCCTCCTCCAAATTATTGAGTACAAGTGTTTCCAATGAAGGGTATTATTAAAACTACAATACTGCAATGCAAAGACAGAAAGACAATTGTGCACTTCCAATTAGACGCGTGCGATTTGTTTCGTTCCGAATCAAAAATTAGTACGAATTTTCGGAATCCGAATTTCTGTTTCCGAATTTGGGATCCCGTCCGAATTTCGTTCAAAAACTACACTGAATCAGACATGTGACTTTTCAGGCCAATCAGATGTGTTTTTCGAGTTAATGCATCCAGATGGGTCTGAACACTAATTTTGGTTACGGCAACATCGGGGCCATATACAGTATATACATATAATGCTAACGCTGAGGCACCTAGACCCGAATGGAATTTGGGATCCCAATTTCCAAATTGCATTTGCGAGCTCCCGAATGCCATCCGGGTCTGGGAGCCTCAGCTTTAGTAATATATGTAGCTGCGCCCAACTGTTTCCTATTGGCCAGCTGAGTCTTTTAGCAGGTCCCGGCCAATAAATACCAACTGGGCAGAGTAAACCGTAACTTCATGGCTGGCTCCACCCAGTTGTTATTGTTTAATGACAGTATAGCGTCCCCAGGTCATTTGGGGACGCTGATATGTTCTTACATCGGCCCCGCTTCATATGCCTTCAGCTCGGCCGCCTGCGGCTGCTGTACGGGCTATAGTGAATACATCAGCCCTTTAGTTCGGTTGAACCAAAGGGCTCAGGCAGCCGAAGAGAGCCCGAAGGATCAGCCGAATCTATGGCTGAATCCTTTGACTCCTTCGTGAATAGCTCCCTAAATCTCCTTGTAACCTTAACACCAACTTTGACTCTCCTCACTCTAACCATTCCTGTAACCATAACACAAAGTATGACTGCAACCTAATACTAATTCCCCCTCTAACCCTAACACGAACCTTGAAAACCAACCCTCACCCTCTGAGTTGGAAACGTAACCCCTTGATTGCATGTTCACCTTGCATATGCTGGAATCCTCT